TCTTACAACTGGGATCGACGACAAGACTTTTGTCAGGTAGTGTATATACTGATGGTCAAGATGATTCAAACTGCTTGGATAACCCTGTGTGATAAGTTTCAGATATCTGAAAATAACACACCTTGGAATGTGTAATAAGTTGGGATATAGTACATCCAGAAAGCTGTATTTTTGAGTTATGGGCTAAGGGTTCATCGCACACCACACATTAAAAATAAATTCGACCTCACGGTGTGTCAATAACACTTACAAACTGCCTTAAATAAATTATATTGTGTTCGATTTTTGTCAGTACACCCACCTAAGCGTTTTGAGAGGAGTTTGAACAACTTTAAGCAACAGAACAAGTGAAAATCAAAATCTAGAATGTGAAATTAATAAAAAAAGCTTACAGCTAAATACTTTTACCTTTGCTAGAACTCCACCACACACAGTTTTACACCCCTGTGAGTATTTATATAAACACAAGGAATATTTGTCTATGCCTTACAGTCACAATATGCAGAAATGAAAGCTGCTTTTGAGCAAAGATCATATTAATTTCATCACGACACCATGACGTCATGTGACAAACCTGTCGCTCCATTATCAAAGTGCTGCCATGAATAGAGAAAGCAGATCCTATTTGCTCAGTGTATGTGTTCACACATACAGCAGCCTGAGGTGTATTTCTACAATAAGTCTCTTAAGCCGTCAGTCCTGAGTGAAAATAACCAGTTCGAGACATGAGAAATCAGATCCAGCAGCGGAATTAAAAGAGTCTCTTTCAGTGGTTCAAACATGTTAGTGCGCTTCATGATCTACACAGCATAACCCTGACGTCCCTCAGTGCTTATATGACATTATCTATTGTGCAGGAGATCATTCAGGTTAAGAGACTTTAATCAAAGCACATGGGTTTGTCTAGATTGGCCTTTCAGTCAAGTGTCAGAGTTAAGAACCTCACTTTTAAAATGTCACAATTACAGAAGTACAAAACCAGGGTGTGCAAATAACATTACTACTACTATTACTTATAATTATAATAATTATTCATTCAAACATTTCTTTTTCGGCTTAGTCCCTTTATTAATCTGGGGTTGCCACAGCAGAATGAACCGCCACCTTATCCAGCATATGTTTTACGAAGCGAATGCCATTCCAGCTGCAACCCATCGCTGGGAAACATTCTTACACACTCATTCACACACATACACTACGGACAATTAAGTTTTCCACAATTCACCTGTACCGCATGTCTTTGGACTTGTGGGGGCAACCGGAGCACCCAGAGGAATCCCGTGCTTACACGGGGAGAACATGCAAACTCCACACAGAAACCCAGCTGAGGCTCGAACCAGCGACCTTCTAGTTGTGAGGTGAACGTGCTACCCTGGACGCCACCGTGCAGCCCCCAATAATAATAACAATAATAATAATTGATAATAATTAATGATAACAATAACAATAATTTTGTATTATTGTAATACTGTCATGTCAAAGCAGTTAGTGAATCAGCATACTATCATCTCATAAACATTGCAAGAATTAGATGCTTTGTTTCCAGTAAGGACTTGTACATGCTTTTATCAGCAGCAGGATGGATTACTGTAACGGCCTCCTCACTGGCCTTCTCAAAAAGACAGTCAGACAGTTACAGCTGATCCAGAACGCTGCTGCCAGGATTCTGACCAGAACCAGAAAATCAGAGCACATCACACCCGTCCTCAGGTCTTTACACTGGCTCCCAGTTACATTCAGAATAGAGTTTAAAGTAGTATTATTACTTTGTGTCTATGTCTATATATGAACAATTTTCTGTCTATAAATCACTAAATGGACCTAGGACCTCAATACATTACAGATTTGCTCACTGAATACAAACCTAACAGATCACTCAGATTTTTAAGAACACATAAACTAGAAATTCCAAGAGTTCAGTCAAAGCAGGGTGAATCAGCTTTCAGCTACTATGCCGCCCGCTGCTGGAATTAGCTTACAGAGATGATCAGATGTGCTCCAACATTAGGCACATTCAAATCAAGACTGAAAACACATCTGTTTAGCTGTGCCTTTACTGAATGAGCACTGTGCTACATCCGACAGATCGCACTATTATGTTTTTCTTTTCTTTTGCATTCTTTTAAAGCTGTTTTAACATATTTCAATCTATATTAATAATTTTCTCTTTTATTCCTGTTAATGTAAAGCACTTTGAATTACCACTGTGTATGAAATGTGCTATATAAATAAACTTGCCTTGCTTTGCCTTGCCTTGCCTGATAATAATAATCATTATTATTAATAATAAAACAATTGTTATTGTTATTATAAACAAATAATGATAATAATAATAATAAAATATTATTGTCATCGTCATCATTTATAACAACACTAATATTTATAAAAATAATAATAATAAATAATAATAATACATTATTATTGTTATTGTCATCATAAACAACAACAACAACAACAACAACAACAATAATAATAATAATAATAATAATAATAATAATAATAATAATTACATTTTATTTATGAGGCACTTTTTACAGCCCAAAGTTTTTGCTCTACAAAAAAGATCAAATAAAACAATTACAATTACAATACATAATAAAATATAAACAGCAACAGCAATATTTTAAAATAACATCACAGCTGGAGCTGACAATATTGAATTTGTCACTTGCTTTGCCAAATCATTTATTGCTGGATGAGGTTTATTAGAATGTATTTATGATGACACTATAATTTGAGTTCAAACAATTCAGATACTTTTTATAATATTAATATTACTTATTATAATATATTACCAATACATATTACATATTGCCATACAATCCTCCCTTTATAAAAATGATTGAAGTGCCTGTTTGCTAAATATTTAAAATATTATTTACGATTCAAAGTGCAACTAAATGGTGTGGCACTGGTTAGACCTGTGTGCTGTGTGATTTAGTTTGTTGAAGTATAAACATTATATTGAACATCCATCGAATACATGTTTATGTTTTATTAAGGGTTAAATATATTGTTATAAAAAACGGCATTGTTATGTAAAAACAAAACAGGCAAAACATATACAAAGTCTCCTGTTTAAAGCTGAAAACATTGTCATGTAATTGGCCCCTATGTTTGCTACGTGTGAAATGTGAGGAAAAGCGCAAAAATAAAACCCAGCTTACAGTTGCAAACACATCATCATACTGATATAAATGTCTGCAGAAACTATATCAAATGCACTACAATTGACAATTGAATAGTGACTACATTCAGATTTTGTTGGGCATTTCAAATCTTCACTGAAAAAAGATTCATTGGATTTTCTACATTTATTTAAGGTAAGTGGTTGCAAACAATTAATATGGGCTAAATTTAAACAAACAAATAAAATATAGAAACTTAATTTGATTGTTTAAATTCAGCCCATATAAATGATTTGCAACCACTTACATAAAAAATTGAGTAAATCCAATGAATCTTTTTTTTCAGTGTATATCAAGTGATATTTTGCTTTCAGATGTCAGGCTCTTGGCCAGGTGTGATTGCAGCGTGTCACCTGACCTGTTCTCTATAATCTGCTAATGTTCGAAGCAGTAGAACAGTTTGTAGAGCTCATGCCACACAGGAAGACATGGGATTGCAGAGAAATAATAACACAAGAAGTTTAAATTGCACATTAGCACAGCCAAGGTATGCAGAGAGCTTGTTTGAGCATGAAGAGGGTGTTAAATCGACCCTTCAATCTGTACAGTCAGTACAAAGAAGGCAAATGCACAAAATACACTTGTATTTCTGCCCAAAGGGCCAGAGCTGCAAGGTGAAAGTATTCATTGCATTTAATGTGCTCATCTGAGTCACTGAAGATTGTATCTAACACACATCTGTGAAAATTTAATTGGTTGGATCCAAAACAATACTAAACACAGTCCCAACTCTTTTTCTACCATGAGCTAAGATGAAAAAGCAGCAAAAAAAGTAAAAACACAGTGCTCAGATTTCAGATAAGAGCCAAATGAAATATATGTAAAATATAACACTGTCCAAAAGGTTGGTATATTTCTCCATGATATAAATATATTGTTTGTTTAGGAAACTGATCAGTTCCATGACAAACGTTTGCTACAAAAAATAAAAATAAAAACAAAAATAAATGTAAAAAAATATATAAACAACTGAAATATTATGCAGCATGTCCATTTTTAACAATGGTAAAAAATCCTTTACTTAAGGTCTATATTTTCCTAAATGTAAAACTCTGTTGATCCAACTTTAAAAATTAAATCATAGAATATTGCTTCATAAATGTAAAAAAAATAATAAAGTATATAATAATGTAATTAATAGAGAAAAGGTTCATTTTAGACATTAAAAGCCACACACTGATTCAGAATCCTAACAAAAACACTATTAGATATGAGTTCATATTTAAAGAACCACACCGCCCTCTAGTGGCTACAACCCTCATGCTGATGATACACAGGGCAACTTTTTGAGCAGTGTTTCTGGACAACTTTGGGAAATTGCTATAAATAGGCAACCGGGTGAGACAGGGTGTAACTAATTAGGACAATGGGTTACAGATGCAATAGTATTGCCCAAAGCAACATGGCTTTGCAAAATTGCCTGGAAACATTGCTCAAAAAATTGCCCTGTGTATATCTTCTGCTTCAAACTCAATACAAACAGTGTTGCCGAAACCACTTCATTAAAAATGTTGCTTAAGCCTGTTTTTTTTCTTTTTACTTGAAAAGTCTATAAAAATCTAGATGATATCATGAGCTAACTAGCATGTTTGTGATGTAATCATATACTAGTCCTTTACTATTTATTTATACAGTTTATTTTAATACAGCTAAATTTATACAAAAAATTACATGTAACATGATGAGAGGACATTTTGTTTAGTTTGTTCTACAAATTTATATTAACACCATCATACCTTTTTTAACCGCAAAACATACTTACCAGCCATTGCAAAAATCCACTGTCCATCTGAGTTAAATACTTCCTATTATAACCCTTTTCACAAGACATCAGGTGTATCAGAATTTATTTTTGCGGGTTTCTTTAAAGTCCCTGAAAAGTGCTTTGAAATATGCATTTTTGACATTTGATGCCTGACGTAATGTCAAATTAAAAATGAAAAAAGGGTGGAACAGAGTAGCTCCTCCCCTTTTAAAAAAGCATCCAATAGTGTTTTGTTTTGATCACAGCTCTGCCTGTGAGAGTGGCTGAGCTCAAGTGCAAATAAAATGCAAATGAGAAGCGTCTTGAAGTGGGCGGGGCATGTCAGATACTAGAGAGCACTCAATTGGTCAAGAGATTTATTGAGAAACTGCAGTGAAAAAAATGTTGATTGATTTATGCAGAAGTGACAAACTGCAAGCTTTGGATGTTTATATGAATTTTATATCTTCTAAACGCAAGTTCCTTAAAACTAACAGACTAAATCTAACATCTAAAAAAATTATTTTAATTTTATGGGACCTTTAAGTACAAACAATGCTCAAAAGTAAAAAAAAAAAAAAATTAACAGGACCCTTTAACCTAAGACAATCCTTTTTCTCACTCACCCGCTGCTCAGCTCATCAGTGCGGGCGTTTTTAGAGAGCACATCTCCATCACTCATATATCCACTCATTTCCAGACCCACTCCTGCCAGCTCCAGATCCTCCACTCGATCCCCCAGCTCCAGACCACAGAGACCACTGCCGCGTGCTGCCAGCTGCTTCCGTAGGGGAGCCTGATACAGATAGCGGCCCTGGCCGGGTGCAACCCCCCCGCTGCGGGACTGATACCCATTACCAACAGAGGGAGCATCTCCTGCTTGCAGACGGGGGCTGGACTGACCCATACGACTGGCCCAGGACAGAGGCGAAGGTCGAGACGCCATGCTGAGGATGTTGCGACTGCTCATTTCGGTAGTCACGCCACCATCAAAAGTGGTTTCCAGTGTACTGATAGAGAGAAAAAAAATGATTTAAAATTAGGGCTGCACAACATATCGAAAAAATGTAGTCAATCATGATAATAGTATATCCAAAAATCATATCGCAGCTCACGCCACCATCAAAAGTGGTTTCCAGTGTACTGACATATTTAAAATTAGGGCTGCACAAAAAAGTGAAAAAATATTGTTAATCGCGATAATATTATATCCAATATTCATATTGCAGCTCATGCCGCTATCAAAAGTGGCTTTTAGTGTACTGACAGAAAAAAAATAATTAGGGCTGCACAATATATATAAAAAAATATTGTTAATTGAAATAGTATACAAGAAAACAAAGCTTTAAAATTAGGGCTGCACAATATGCTGAAAGAATATAATGAATCGTGATATTAGTATATGTATATCGCAGCTCACATAACCATCAAAAGTGGTTTCCACTATACTGATAGATATTTAAGAAAAAAAAAAAGATTTAAGATTATAGCTGCAGAATATAGTGAAAAAATATTGTTAATCTTAATATTAGTATATCCAATATTCAACCAATATCCAATATTCGCAGCTCACGCCACCATTAAAAGTAGTTTCAAGTGTACTGACAGAGAAAGCAAAGATTTAAAATAGGGCTGCACAATATATCGAAAAAGATATCGCTAATCGCAATATTAGTATAAGCAAGAAAACAAAAATTTTGAATTAGTGCTGCATGATATAGTAAACAAATATTGTTAATCGCAATATTAGTATAAGCAATATTCATTTTGCCGCTTACATTACCATCAAAAGTGGTTTCCAGTGTACTGACAGAAAAAAAAATTAGAGCTGCACACTATATTGAAAAAATAGCATTAATCGTAATAATAGTATATGCAAGAAACTAAAAGTTAAATTTAGGGCGGCACAATAGAGTTAAAAAGATATCGTTAAATCGCAATATTAGTATATGCAATATTCATATACCAGCTCAAGCCACCATTAAAAGTGGTTTGTAGTGTACTGACAGAGAGAGAATTTTTTTTAATTAGGGCTGCACATATATGCAATGCAAATATGCAATATTTATATAGGCGAAGAAGTGCAAAACATAAGCTAATTTTGTGTGCTGTTATGACCTGTTGGTTTTTTGGGAACATTTCGATGTCTGTGGTATTGTTTGTTTTGTTTGGTTTCTTTCATTCTTGGTGGGTGTGGCTTGTGATTATCACATGGCAATTGGTCTGGCAGCATGACTGCTTCTATAAGGGTCCTCCACAACTTCCCTTCGACGCCACTTTATGTCATCGCTGTTACTTATTACAAATCGTTAGCTATGGTCATCATCATATCATTCTGCATTGTTCGTTTGATTGCTAGTGTTTGTTTGAGAGCGTGTATCTGATCAGAGAGAAAGTTATTGCCATTTGTTCCCCATTATTGACCACTGTCCACCTAGAGAACTTGATTAAACTTGTGATTCTAGATAACACGTTTTGAAACTTGTATAAATAGTATGTACTTTCTTGTTTTTTTTTGTCACTTTAAGGGAAGTAGGGAACTTAAATATGGGCACTTGTATCTAAATGTCTGTAATGTTTATTTATTTTTTTGTCAATTTAATGCACCCAAGCAGAATAAAAGTATCATCTTTTGTTTCTATCTCAAGCTTTGCCCTTTTTTTGTGTTCCACAAAAATATTGAGCAGCAAAAATATGTTTTACAATGTTTTCTGTAGTGTTAAGTGAAACATTTAAAAGATAAATGCGAACAAAAATGTCCTTCTAAAAAAACAAAAATGCACCATGATAACTATATTTTCTTCAAACCTACTATAGGCATGATTTATATTCATTACAGTGGTACTGTCGCTACAGCAAATCCATATTTGCCAACATCATAGTCTTTTATACTATAGTATTGTTCTGAAAACTACTATAGTATTTTTTTACCAAACAGCATTTAATTTCAATATTGACCTAACTGTTAATACTGTTTTTATTCATAGAAATGAGTAACTGTAACAAATATCCCAACAGCTCAGGAAAGAAATATGTCCTGCTTCTCTCATTTTACCCTAAAATGGACTTTTTACAACTACTGCAGAACACAGTCCTGGTCAATTAGACGAAAGATCAAAATGAGGAAGAAATAAGGTTTTAAGAATAAACTAAGGTGGACAGAGCATTAAGGAGCCAATAGAGTCATTTTATAATTTATTTAGGAAACTGACAGTAAAAAGGTTAAAGCTGAGGAAGGATTGGTGCTTGTTATTGTCTTAAAAGAGAATAAAACGCAAGGAAAAAATGTATTATTTATAGTGGCTTGTTTCTTTGCCAGTTTAAAGGGATAGTTTACCCAAAAAATGACAATTATGTTATCATTTACTCATATTTCAAACCTTGTTTTTTTTTTAAAAAAAAAAGAAGATATTTTGGAGAATGTTGGAAGCCTGTAACTATTGACTTCCATAGTGTTTGTTTTTCCTACTACGGATGTGATTGGATCCAGCTTTTTTTTCAAAATATCTTCTTTTGTGTTCAACAAAAGAAAGAAACCCATATTGGTTTGTAACCACGTCAGGGTGAGTAAGTAGTGAGTAAATTTGCATTTCCTTTAAGTACACTAAAGAGCCGTCTTCACCTTTTTATGCTATTTTAACAGAACTCCGCATTATGAGGTTTGTTTTTACTTTTTTCAGATCACACATGACACTTGATGACATGTTTCTTGTCCACAACGCAACATTAAGTGTTCAAAGTGTAACAGAAAAGAAAAAGCTATAGTGAGAAGCCAATATTAGCCACTGGATGTGCTTCTTATGATGGCTACAGCATATACTGTAGTTCCTCAGACCAGAAAATGTCTACCTGTGAGTGATTTGTGTCCCCCGTAAACTGGACATGGTTTCTTCTAGATTCTGCCGCAGGTCAGCGATGTTTTTGACAGTCCTCAGGCGCCTGGTCTCTGGATCTTCACCTGAAAATAAGTTGTTTACATTTAATATCACATTGTAATATTTCATATATATATATATATATATATATATATATATATATATATATATATATATATATATATATATATATATATATATATATATATATATATATATATGTATGTATATATATATTTTTTTTATTAATATATATATATTTTTTTCTCTCCATTTTTACTCATATTTATAAATAAATAAATAAAATAAATAAGTAATTAAAAAAGTATGTCAATACTTTAACATTAATCCTTATTGTAAAGTGTGAATATGAAGTGTATAAATATAAAACATTAATTTGTAAAATATTCAGTTGTAATACTAGTTCAGATTATTACTGTTTTACTGTATTTTCAATTTTGAATCACATAAATGTAGTCTGGGATAAGAGATTTCATTAAAAAATGTATTTACAATTCTATAAATCTTAATTTATTGATGGACAAAACATCAGAACTATCAGATGAACAATTACTTCAACCAGATTGATGCTGAATGAGAAATGAATGAAGGTGTTACCTGACAGATCCTCGGTGGAAGACTGGTTGGTTTTACTGAAGCTGCCAGAGTCACTGCTGCGACATCCAGAGCTCAGGTTTGTGCCCATATTTCCATCTGCCTCATTCTGAGTCCTAAAAAAAGATAAGTTAAAATAATGACATTCACATCCTTTTTCTATGACATTCTAGTCAGCAGAAGTCAAGGCCTGACAAGAGGAATCCTTTATAGAAAACAAACACAGGCTGAAGAGTCTGTTTTAGAGGAAATACCAGTCAAACGGTTCACAGCTGAGCCTGACGGGGAGTCACACACATCTATGAGCATGCATGAACATGCTGCTATATGTTGCTATAACTAGTTTAACAATCTGTCGCTTAACTACAGAATGCATATAAACTTCTTACACTTCTGTTTTGGCACAAACCTTTATCCGTCTATCCAACAGCATTAAACTCCAATTCAATGAACTAACTAGCTAACTTCTGCACTCTAATAAACTAACTTCTGCACTCTAGTAAACTAACTTCTGCACTCATTTTCCTTTTTTAAAAGTACAAAAATAACAACTCAAGGTGTTCTGTGTGTTTTTAACCTACAGGTCTGTTGTGAAAGCTTTTATTAATTCAAATGTTTTTAAAGTATTTTTTTAAATGTAAAATTTACAGTAATTTATTGGCTATTTTGGTAAATTAAAAGTTATAATTGTCATTTATAAAATTACAGAATAATTGTAATTATTTATTTACATGTGTGCTTTTAAATTTTAGGTGCCAGTAAGTTACAGTAAATTATACAGTGATGTTTTTACAGTGTGCTTTTTCAAATCTAATGATAGCATTTGCCTTTTAATGTCATTCTCATTGTAGTTATTTACTAGTATTTGTTTACAGTAGTTTTAGTTGCCAGTAAATTTCTGTAAATTATACAGTAATGTTTTACAGTGAGCTTTTTCAATGTCTAATGATAGCATTTGCCTTTTTAATGTCATTTTCATTACAGTTATTTACAGTTATTTGTTTACAGTAGTTTAGTTTTAGTTCTAAAGTTTAGGCATAGTATCTGAAATTAAAACTATTAATTTTCTATTTAATTTAAAGCATAAATCACACAACCCATGAATATTAGAAAACAATCCAATGTTTCTAACATTTTAGAAATATCTTAAGAAATAAGTTTGAGCAATCCAGTGTTGTTTTTATTTTATTTTAAATACTATAGTACTTTCATTATTCAAAATCTTTTAGTTTTCCATTTGATAATACTGATTAAACAATATTATGGGGTTTAGTTTTAATCATAGTAGTAATATTTATTTAAACGATGTATTTAAATAAATTCAAACAATTCTATTTAACAATCTTAGTTTTAGTAGTTAGCTTTCATTTGAATTGAATTGAACTGAATTGAATTATACTGTATCAAATAGTTATTTAATTGAGCTGTTATTTTTCTTTTTTTTAATTAAAATTTTTTGTCATTATAATTTTCTACATTTATAATTATTATTTATTTACTTTGTATTTACTTTTTATTTTGTTTAAGTTTTAGTAATTGTACAATATTTATTCATGTTTTGAAATGTTTTATTGGGTAATTTGGTCACACTTTAATTTAATGTACAATTTGTGCTATTAGCAAACCATTAACTAAGACTTTTAGCTCAATAAACTCCTAATTAGCTGCTTAATGATAGTTAGTATGGTGGTAGTTTGGGTATTGGGTAGGATTAAAGATTTAAAATAAGATCATATTGTATAAGTGCTAATAAACAGTAATTATCTTAATAAAAGGCAAGTAATAAGCCAGTAGTGAATGGTGTGACTTGTTATTTAAACAAAAGTGTCACTGTTAATTTGAATAACTGAACTAATTACAATGAAAATACTTATATTTAAGGAATCTGACTTATTTCTAGTCTGGCCCAATTGAAATAATCCACTTTTGATTTGGCTTAACCCTCTCCTTCAGTCTAAATTTATAACAATTTATCAACATCCAAATCAAAACAAACCAATCAAGCATCATACCGGTACATGAAAGGTGCTACGGTGGCTGTGTTGGGATGGTTGTACTGCTGCTGTGGTTGAGGAAGCTGCACACTGACTGTGTTGCTGGCGGTGGATTGAGTCCCGTTGGCCACCGGGGCGGCGCTGTGCATCGGGTGTCCTTTACCCTCAGTGGAAGCCAGGCTGGAAGAGGAAGAGGAATGGCGACTGTCCCGATGAAGCCCCAAACCTGCCCCTAAACGCACGCTCCGCGGCCTCTCATTGTCTTTACCACCGAGGGGCAGCGCAGAGCCTTTCACTGCTCCATTTCCAGCACTTTTACTCCCTGGTTTTGGAATTCCGCTCTGGACAGGGGCGGGGCCATCTTTCTTGGCTCCGCCCACTTTGCCACCTTTAGGTATAAAACTGGCGATTTTGGAGGCTTTTCTGGGCTCTGGTTCAGAGGGAGCAGTAACAACGCTTGAAGAAACCACTTCTTCCTTGACCTCCTCTACCTTTTCTGAAGGAGAGCCTCGCTTGGATGCATTTTTGTCTTTGCCCTTTTCTTTCTCTGAAGATTTCGCTGATGCTTTTTTCGCTGTAAGAGCACGACTAAATGTCCGCTGTGCGATGCCTTTTAGCGCAATTTTTGGGCTGCTTGTTGTCACGCTAACAGCCCCATTCGTGGGTCTCACGTTCCCATCCATTTCCTCAATAGGTTCAGTATTGGAACCGGTCTCAACTCTCTCCAAAACCAAAGCGGCATCCTTCCCTCCAGTGGGCGTAACAGCGCCCTCTGTCTGCGTGGATGATTTGGATCCTCCTTTGCTATTAAAAAGCTTGAGTTTCTCCAGCATGGATTTCTGAGGCACAGCTTTGGGTGGTGCTTCTGCAGGTACGGGCTGCTTGGCTTGGAGATCCGACTTAGTGGAAAGCCCGGTGGAGGTAGCGGAGGTGTGCTTGCTGTTCTGGGATTTAATTCTCCAGGGTTTGCTACTCGAGTTGGGCTGAGGGATGGCTGATGATGATGAAGAAGATGCCACAGTGCTGGTGCTTAAAGAGGTGCAAGCGGATGACAGAGCGGGATCAGTCACACTCTCTGATGATTCTGGAGAGGAAACCAAACAAGAGGTAAAGGTGAGAATCAGAGAGAAAGAGAAAAAGCTAAAGAACGGATGTACTTGTTAAATAATCACTGTGAGAAATAAAGGTACAAAATCTGATAACTTTTTAAAAGTTACAATTGTTCCTAACAGGTTCTTAAAGGTACTAAGAATGTACCTAGTAATGCCTAGAATGTACAAATTTGTACCCCATAGTATCTTAAAAGTACAAAAGTGAGCCTTAAAGGTACAAAAGTGTTCCCTAAATGTACTAATGTCCACCTGTAAGGTTCAAAAGTGTACCTTTTGAAAAGGTTATTAAAAATTTTTACATATCCAAGGGCTGTTGTATATTGAATGAACATTAAATTGAGAGTGTCTCTGGCCAAAATCTTTTTAATCTTACTCACTTTTTAACTTGCTGCTAGGAAAAGCACTTGCAACTATACGCATGGACATCTAATTGTATGCCTTTCTGGCCCACATTTTATTCACTTTAAAAATTAATAGCTGCTATAAAATGCACTTGCCACGTTATACGCACATCATACACACTTTTAGTATTGTATTGTTAATCCTTTTATAATTTATTATTGTTGCCATTTTACCTTTTTTATCTCATGTTATTATTGTTGTTGTTTTAGATAAATAGTACTGCACTGAAGGGAGGGGCAAACGCAAATTTGGCTGTATTTTGTACAATGACAATAAAGATTCTGAGGTACAGTCCCAGGGACAGATTTTGTATCTTTATTTCTGAGTCTGATGGATGTTTGTGGCTAACAAGAATATACTCATAAAACCTTGAATTTTACATCACAAAACATTCAGATGTGTCACTTAATTGAATGAACATTATTTTTTTTAACAAATATCAAAATTTGTATTTGTCGTTCAGTGTAATTTTAGTATAGTTTATTTAATATTAAAGTATATTTATTCGTATATTAATTGATTTTTATTTTCAGAAATAACTTCAAGTTTAGTTTTCCTTGTCAAATTTCTGTTTAGCATCGATTTACTTATTTACTTTTATTTAAAGTTTACCCATTTTAGAACTTACACTTTCTTCATTTGGTTGCCAAGGCAATACTTCAGATTTACATTTATCACATAATATTTATATTTTATTGTCTTTCAGCATTCTTTCAATAGCCAAAAATGTTTGAAAATAAGTTAACAGGAAAATACACAAGAAATCTGACTTTTACATATTTTAACAAATCCAAGTCATATCAAATATATTTCTGTGCCATATTTAAACAAAATCCAAATCCAATATATATAGCATACAATTAATTTTAATACCAATCAAATTGGAAATGTTTACTGTTGTGAAGTAATGTTTTTATATACTTTTGACTTTTAAAATTTGGCAACTTTTCATTTTCTTCTTCTTCTTCTTCTTCTTCTTCTTCTTCTTATAATTATTATTATTATTGTATCTGTTGTTATTATTATTTGCTGGAACATGCTGAAACGGTCCCTATCCATACCACATTTTGAAAACCAACTGTAATCTCATTGTTGCAAACAGACTGAATAATCTGATCCGATTTCAGCATGGCATAAAAAGATACAAAATATGATACATAATAAATGATTAGGATACAAAATATGATACAAAAAAGAATTTTAGTGCTGATGCATACATTATTCCTACCAAAACAACAACAGTGATTTTGGTTAATTAGTAGATTTGAAGAACAAAACGTATAAGCAGAATAATAAATCTAAAGCCAAGTAAGGCATGCAGGAGGAAAAAAGCTTGAAAGTTTAACCTGAGATGACTATTGAAACACCTCTCCCAGGCCATAAAAGGCTAGTGACCCAAGAGCTAATGTTATTCTAATAGTGAGCAGCAGATGGCCGACTGAGACACACTCTAAACTGTTTACTCTAACACAGAGAGTAAGACTGTAAAACTCATTCAAACACTGGAGGACAAGTTGAGCTATTGTGCACAAACAATAGAAACAAAAATAGACATTTTAAGACACATTCTACACGTGTCAGTTCTCTCTGGTTTTATTTTATATTTTTAGACCAAAAAAGGAAATCATGGTAAAGTCTGTGAGACTTTTATTTCAGTATGTTGATGTACTTCCAATGTACCAATGTCATCATTCACTCATAGCAAACTAACGGTAAGATGGGTGTGGGTAAGAATATTGTGTCACTCCAAATTCAGACGCAAATGATCAGATTTTGGTTGAAGACTACCAAAACATTTTTTGTTTTTGCTGGGTTAACATCCAGATTTATTGTTCACCAAAAGAATATTTATGAACAAATTTACATTTTTCTTTTTTTTCTTTTCTTTTCTTTTCTTTTTTTTTTTTTTTTACAGTTTTTAAACATAATTAAGAGACTGTGTGAAAACAAAATGTGCATTATTACAGTTGTAACTTAAAGATACTAAAAAAGAATAAATACTGTAGTTATTACATTTTCTTTTTTGGATGAACTACTCCTTTAACTGATAAAACAAACAACAGATGTATTTCTACAACACAAAAACAAACATGGTCTTTAACATCCCCCAGCAAAATAAGACAAACCTTACAGAATGACTTCGATATCTCTCCCAAAACAAATAGTCCAAAAGTGTTTTTACAATCATAAGGGCAAAAAAAAAACCCTATTGAACCCAATAGAATTCCTTCACCTGGCAGGTCCATTTGATAAAGTGTGTTGGTTTCACAGTAAGTCCAGCATGAAGCGTCTCAGTAGTCCAGTTCACTGCAAATAAAACTCCAACACTGGAGAGTTTCTGCACATGATCTCTCTCTCTCTCTCTCTCTCTCTCTCTCTCTCTCTCTCTCTCTCTCTCTCTCTCTCTCTCTCACTCCATTGACAAAATATAATAGAGATTTGCAGTTGGAAGATCTTGCATGGCACTATTGCAGTTAATACTTTTATTTCCATCTTAAATCTGCAAGTAAAAAAAATAGTTGTATATTTTGTGGTTGGAGGGAAACTTTTTTTTTTTTAAGTTTTTTTATATTGTGCAAGGTTGAATCTATTGCTTGGAGTGTTGAAAGAGATGTTTTCATTTTAATGAAAGTTTCAGCAAGCCTGTATTTGTTTACATTTTTAAGGTGTATAAAACAGTAGATGACATTTGCTGAATTCCATTCTTGTGCAGGCAAAAATGTCTAGAATTGGATAATAAGTGCAGTCAATGTTTATAAAAGGTTGGTAAAAACAGGAATTAGTTGCGATTTTAATTTTAATAAGTAAAATTTACTAGATTTTGAAATGACGAAGTATTATGCAAAATTGAAAATAACCTTTTAAAGTTCGGTAATAGCATAATATCCAATAATTGGATAAATTGTTAAGTATTATAAATGTTAAGGCAACAAAGTTTTCTAAAATATCTCTCTCTATTACACTGAAAACACTCGCTCCATCAGTCGGCTGATGCCCCAAAACCAAAAGTATAAACCAAACCAAACATAAATAAATAAAAAGCTGCGCATATTCTATTGTTACACATTAAAGAGAAGAGCTGTAAAAACTTAAGATGTACTCCAATGAATGTCTTGCAGAGACATTGTGTATTGTTTATTATGATCAGAATTAATTTAAACCACTTTAAATACTACTTAATGTGACATAACTTGCAACATTTGGAAAGCACTTGAAGGGACAATTCATCTCATTATTCACCTAAGCTTTTCCACTTTTCCACCATAAGATTCTTCCTTCTATTCTAAACAACAAAAAGAGATGTTTTGAAGAATGTTGGAAACTAGTAGCCATTAGTATTTGTTTTTCCTACTGTGGATGTCAATATCTACCACTTTCCAAATTTATTCAAAACATGTTTATTAGCCTGTGTGCTGACTAGAATAAAAAATAAACGCATAATGCTTTGAAACTATTGAGGATTAGTAAATTATCATAATTTTAATTTTTTGGGTGAACTGTGCCTTTAAATAGATAGTTTACCACCCTAAAAATGAAAATGTACTCATCCTAATGTAGTTACAAACCTCTGAGTTTCCTTTATTAAATTCTGTGATTATGAACTGTAGCTTTAAGTTAAGTTGTTGCTTGCCAATTTGCTACAAAAACAAAATATTAAACTCAATTTCATTTATTTGTTTAATTTTTTAAAAATCTGTATATCTTACTCCTCTATCTGATATGGACAAAAGCACAGTTCCCATCCCATTCAGTCTAGCATTTAATGAGCGGCAAAGAAACAAAGCAGCAATTAGGAAGTGATTAAGGTCCAATTAGCCATGCCAGCCTGAGAGAAGTGGGTCAGACCACTAATGACTTCCAATAGGTAGAGAGAGAGGAAAGAGAGGCTGAGAGGGGGACAGGCATAAAAAATAAAGAATAAAAAAACAGAATGATCAAACTGATGAAAATGATGAAACCCAGCTTATTTATCAGAAACTTCAGAACATAGAAATAAGATTCAAAAGGGTAAACAGTTACTGTCCAAAAACAATGAACAGCTAAACTGTCAATCATTTGCACATGAAGAGATGAAATAGTTGGACGCATATCATGAGGGAACTCCAGAGAAACTTTCTGCCCTCAGGGTTTGTGGCCTCTTAAAAGTTCCTCTTGACGTCCATATTTAAGTGATTATTCCTCCACGGCGGAAAAACAGCAATCATTAGTCTCAGATGACCACACAGGAGAACACACGACGGCGGTTCAAGTTCCTGTTATATTACACCCTTTTTTTCTGACTAAAATAATATGTAAGATCTATCTATCTATCTATCTATCTATCTATCTATCTATCTATCTATCTATCTATCTATCTATCTATCTATCTATCTATCTATCTATCTATCTATCTATCTATCTATCTATCTATCTATCTATCTATCTCTATCTATCTATCTATCTTTTCCATCCATCCATCCATCTTTTTATCTGTAAGTCTGTTTGGCTTACATCCATCCATCCATCCTACAGCCCTATTCCAAAATTTGTTACATTCATTTATTTCTTCAACATTCACCACCCCATAATG